TCTGCTCGTGGCAATCAAATCATACCACAACCGATGTTCAAGACTAAGGAGGGCCCTATCGGTCTCGGCCCCAACGGGGATGGTCAGCTTGTTGGCCGTGAGGCGACTCAGATGGAAGATACAAACTACATTCAAGATCTTCAGGATATGTCTGATGCTGAAAGCGAAGACTCGATGATGGACACGTCCGTTCCGTGCCCGCTTGGTGATGTCCAACAAGTGCAACTTACTAGTCAATCAGAACAGGAGATTACAAGCTCTGGCTCATCACTTCCTGGGCCTCGCATTCGCGAACATGTGCAGGTTGTGGATACGCCAGACAACAATGTTAGCCGTCGATCTGGAGACTTTGCTAAAAAGGACGCTGGTTTACAAACTCGTCACGATGGGCAGCTGTCATCTGACGCAGCGAAATCGTCATCTCAGTCACGGATCCTGAACACGTATGCCAGTAGTGGATCCAAAGGGACTTCACCGCAGGATCGTCAAGATGGCGCCACCGCTACTAAGAACTCCGATATACTTGGTACACAAGTGAGCAACGGCGGTCTGCATAAAGACACAACGCCGTATACGACGTCGGACATGGGGCTCAATTCATCTGCTTCAGGAGTTCAACCGCGCAGTGTGTCGACCAATGGCCAGATGCACAACTCACAGAAGTCAGATCCGTTCTCCTCATACCGAGAAATGCCTTCGTCAATACCTTCGGAGATCGGGGCAGTTGTAGCGGGCCTTGATCAGCCCACAATGTCGCGCCCAAAACGTCGTGTGTCGGAGGTCGAACAGGAGAAAGAGTCCCCTGCAAAACGGCCTAAGATGGAGTCTCATCAACAGCCAGCTGAAGAACCAGCGTTGAACATAGTTGTTCGTCGCCGAAGCTACATCAACCACTCCACCCAAAAGTTGGAGGAGGCGCAAAGGGTGTATGAAAAGTTTCGGCGTGATTATCCGAACTATTCAGGGGACTTCGCTCACTTTACCGAGCTTTGTTCGAGACTCCACGCCGTCCGCTCCAAGGGACACTTGCAGCGGTCTTTCTTATGGGATGACTTCATAATCAAGCACCTCGAGGATTATCCACGCTATATCGAAGAGTGTCTCTCCGCGGGTACCAAGTCGTTGGCATATGAAGAGTTCTTTTCGTCGTCCTACTCTAGGCCTTCATACAAGAAACGGAGCATTACCACTCATGGGATTGAATCAAATGCGGCCCAGTATGTTCCCGCTGATCAAGCCGCGGCACCCGATACCGATATCGCATCTCCAAAAGCAAACGCTTCTTTTACGGGGAGTCTTGTCCAGCGATTCACTAATTTCCACACCCATTCCTTTGGTCCTGAGACTCAGGGAACCCAGTCTGATACGGATATGGACTATATGTCATGTGTTATGTCGTCTCCAACACCTCAAACAAAGGTCAGGCGCGACACAAATGCACCAGACCTCCCAGTATTGGACGAAGAGGCTATGGAGACAGACTCGGAACGGGGTTCGGAATCAGGTATTCCAGTCAATGAGACTAGGCACGAGCGGGATGGTTCGCCGGTGGACGATCAACCCTTGGAGTCTTCCGTGCCTGCTGGCGAAACTTATTACGACGTTCAAGACCCGTTTGTGAATGAAGACACCCCGTCTGCGCAATTAGAACAGTACTTGAAGTCTACTTTGGACGAAAAGGAGACGCGAAGCCAGGTCAACACTCGCGCGGGAACAGCCATTGCTGAAGAGCTGGCAGAGCCGGGACAGCCAGAGTCCAGTGTCATGGAAATTGCCGTCGATCGCGCGGAGATACCCTCAGCTGCGCACGAAGCCTGCCAGGAAGATAACTTGGACTCTAGCGTCCCAGAGAGTGGAGATTATATTATGGACGAACAACCCAAACCGGACTTGGAATCCAGTATACCCGAAAGTGAAGCTGCAATGGCAAACCCAGCAGGCACAGGGCAGGACGATGAGTTGGAACTAGAGCACCACTCAGTCCCCCACTCCCCACAAGGCTCAACCGAATCCGACATGGTGAGCGAGTCCAGTTACGATGAAGACGATGACACCGATTCAGAAGCAAAGCCAAACGCAATACCACTACCCCCAGATAGTGACGCAGATTATGGATCCGACCTTTCAGACGAGGAAGACGAAGGCGAAGACGAAGACGACGAAATGATTGACGAGACGCACGAAACAGCCAGCATTGAGCTCGGCGCAGAGACCCAAGATGCCGCCCAGCTCGCGCAGCAGCAGCAGCAGCAGCAGCAGCTTTCAGACCTTGAACCCGAATCCGACACGGAAAGTATCAATGAGAATTGGTTCGTGTCCCTTCGACACATCCGTCCCAAAGGCCCTGTCTGGTCCGACGACCCCAACACGCCCTTCAAGCAATGGGCACGAGCGGACCAGGCCGTTCTTTCCGAACGCAACCGACGGGGCGGCGCATACCTGCCAGTTGACGAGAAGGGAGTGATCCAGCGTCCTGGATATCGTCGATGAGGGCGATTCTATCCCCAATTCATGGTTCTAATTCATTTATCTTCTAGGGGATTATTCTTCGTATACCCTTTTTTTCAGCTGTATCTTTAAGATAGTTATTTTACCTTCTTTGTTTGTATTACTATTATTAAGGTCGCTACTATATTTCGTCTTCTAATTTAAGATTTTATTCATGAGAGATATGAGGAGTGTGCTTCATATATATTATGATCTTTAAGCCAGTAATCCCGTATTCTAATGCCTCTTCGATGGGAAGAATGGAAGTGGATTGTTTAAGAGGGGTATTGTGTTCTCAAAGCAAGGCCAGATGGTACTTCAATCGAAGAGTCGCTATACAGCACGAGGTGGGCAATAGTTACAAATGGCCCGGGGCCATTGTCCACTTCCCGAATAGAAAGCATTGTTCAGTTGAACCAAATGACAAATGCATTGTTAAGGTAGTAGGTAAGCATCTTATTTCTCCAAATAAGCGACTTGCATCTTTCCCTTCTCCCTTCTTCCCCTTACTAAATCAGGGTATCGATTGATTATACCTTGATCGGCTCCACCATGAATGAACAGTATCAATCAATCACGCAGGCAATAATGTAAAACTTATGTCTATCCCTTTACGAAAGAAGTACTAATGGCTAGTTACCAAATAAAATAGTGAAAATGGATAAAGGTAGATATTTTCAATTCATATACAATAGATGGATGCAACTAGCATTAATTCATCATGCCAAGAGTCGCAGCACTGAATGAATCAGACCGGACCAAGGGCTCTATAATCCAAGTTCCAAACCCTCCATACTCGGGGTATCACGGGTATGCACACTAGCTTTCCTGCCTTTTCTTTGGCTGGAAACAAAATACACAAGTAAAATATAAAATAGAAAATGTCATCATCAGGTTGTTGTTGTTGTCATGACCGAGCCAACCCAAACCAGAACGCCAGTATGAACAAATGTTGAATATATTCCTTCCTTTTTTTTATTCAGGAAGTGTTTTTTGTGATTGATGTTGGTAATAGACCATCATTTAAGCATGACGGAAGGGTTCATAGGCGTTCGTGCGACCCGTGGTCTGGTTGTTGTGGATCGGAGGCGGGGGAGGGTAAGAGGTGTTGGTGTAAGGGATCGGCTGGGTCTGGCCGTGAGGGCCCAGAGCCTCGTAGGTGTAGGGAGTCTTTTCGGCCATGACAGCGCGATTGCGGTTGCGGTGGTTGTAAGGGGAGCGACCGGAGCAGCAGCAGGAGCTGATGATCCAGAAGAGAGTGGCTCCGAGGGAGAAGGCGACTGCGAGCCAGGTGGCGACGTAGATGTTCTTGCCCATTTGACCCTTGATGCCGTATTGCTCGAGATCGGACTTGAAGACGCCCTTGAGGACGGCGAACATGGCGGTGGAAGTGACGGAAGCGGCAGCGGTGAAGAGGAAAGCAACAGCAGACACCAAGCTGGTCACGCAGCTACCCCAGCGACTGCAGATAGCAAAGACACCGACGACCAGCTCGACGATGGTGAGAGCGAAGGCGATGACGTAGGCGATGAACATCCACTTGGAAACGGCCTTGTAGGTGTTCAGGGCGCTCTTGACGTTGCTGGGAAGGGCATTCTCCAGACCGGTCTCTTCCAAGTTCCAGATCTCCATAGGGTTGAACCAGAACTCGGCCTCGGGCTTGGAGCAGTTGCTGGTTTGATAGCTGTTGTTGGAGGTGATGTTTCCTTCACAGTAGCCCCAAAGACCAATGGCATAGAAGTCCTCGATGTTGTATTGTTTCTCGATTTCCTCGAGCGCAGCGGAGAGATCGCCATCCGAAACACCGGTCAGGTCACTCACGACGGAGGATACTGTCGATGCGGTGGAAGAGGCTTCGGAGGTAATGTTCTTGAGGTTGGCCTGAAGCGGAGTCAGTACGATCGGACATTTGAGTGGGGATGCATGAAAGGTCAGCAAGACGTACTCTGAAGAAGTAGAGATCATTTAGCGTGCTGGAGCTGGATTTTGTGCAGCCCAGGCCCACCATGATGATGCATATTAAGGAGGCGATGGTGAGGACATATGGAGTGAAGATGCAGACAATGCGACCGCCTTTACCCATGGTGACGGTTGATGTGGAGGATGACGTGGGGATGTATGTATGCTGTGGTTGTTTTCCCTTGCTTATCGGGGGGGTAGTTTTGATCTCAGGTCCGAACAGGTGGTTAAATAAATAGAAGCAGGACACTGAACGTGAGTGTATCAGGGTTGATGGGTGGTGATGAAAAATGTGAGAGATGTAAGATGAGAAGAAGGCTGGGACAGGATGATTTTATAAAAGAGGCTGCTGGGGGATCAACACAAAATTACTTGTTATTTACTGCGTTGAATTTAGTTTATTGGGGAGGCGCAGTCAGATGGAGAGAGTTTGGTTGATCAGCGGGCCAATCACGGAGGGCAGATGATGGACTACGCCACGCTTGTTTCTATAATAAATTCGAGCGAGTTTCCACCGCAACCCAAACGCGGGATCCAGCACGGTTGATAGTGGAGCCTTTTTCTTTAAAGGGTTCTGGTAATGAGCAGATATTTTCATAGCAAGCAATATTTCTGTTGACATTGCACAGAACACACTGCAAGGGACTAATCCCCATTGAGGAAACTGACCCTCGTGGCGGAGACTCACCAGCCCTACCGCCACGTCAGAAAGTGGCTGGGGTAATACGCGTCCTCTTCCTCATTATTATCATTATTACGCTGATATTAACCTTGTTTCCTAATATGTTATCAAGTCAGTTGATGTATTCCATTTCATCAACTTTATACACACACGGGATTTCTGGTCATTAACTGAGTAGTCCTGCGCAATTTATGTCGATCGGGTCGAGTTGGATCGTATCACCACAACCAACCTATCTGATACACGGTGGACCAAAGAGGCACCGTACAGTGAAGTAGCGATCGTCATCATCGGGGATCTGCTTAACCATCTCATTCCCAAGGTTTCCTGTGAGCCTGGATCTCTGGATGAGCGTGTCTCACCCTCAGCCCACCAACCACGGAACCTCCACTGACTAGGCTTCATCATTCTGAGCTTGGCAATACGCGGTCCATGTTGGATGCTTTTATTGGTATGCATGACATTCTCGGAAGTTTCTTCTGCATCGACATATTCCCTGCTGTCCGTCCCATGGTACTGCCTCAGGGACGTCCGATGAAGTGCCCCGTGAGTTATCTCAACAGTGATTGATGGATCATCGCCACGGAGTATTCTTAGCAAGGCAACTGGCGTAATCAACCACGACTAGTCGAGTCATGACTTCATGACCACCTATGAAAAGAAGCAAATCTGCTGTTTCAATTCTCAACCGTCGCGGCAGACGGGAAAAGTGCCGGGATTGACCCTCATCCGATCGACCAGACTATTAACCCGGGCTTACGTTGAGCGTCTTGGCGGGCCCGTCTCTCATCCATGGTTCCTCCTTCGGCCTCGACCATCCCTTCACTGCCATACCTGCACTCGTTGCTTTCTCTTGCATTCAACAACATCGCGGTGTTCATCCACGAACATCATTTATCCGATAAGGCTGATGAGGAGAACTATGTATATCCTATGATCAGTGGGTCGTCAGATCCCTACTTCATACGCACTTCGTTGAGCTATACTCGATGATCGTTGATAAGAACCCACTGACTACTTATTACGGTGTACAACGTGCACTATTTCAGCGACAGGCGTGCCTCACTGCCTAGTGCCTACAGGTAACACTCAACAGAATGCACAAGGATGGAGCGTCCAAAACGGAATGCCTTGTGACGTCAGTCAGTGCGCTGCCACTAATGTATACTAGTACTCCTCTCTGTACCACCACCGCCCACCCGGACAAGATACTCCGTATAGTTCTCCGATGCACCGCATCTGCGACCCACCCAGACCTCAAAGATATGCCTCCAGGATATCCAGCATACCCGTGTACGCAGTTCCATCTGGGGGCTCCATGCTGAAAATGTAGTCTCCCCACCATGGCCCGGCTGCCCACCACGACGCACCCTTCCATACGTCGGTGTTATTCGCCATGTACTCCAGCATCCCCGACACAGCACTCCGACATACATCATTGGAACCCCCGGCATATTCGCCTATGAAGCCGACCTTCTTATTATCCTTCAGCCACTGTGTAGCTTCAGTGACCCGCTCTTTTCCGATGGTCTCGGACACGCAGGTCTCCGAGGTGCCGGAACCGTCGGAGTCTAGGTACTGGTGCATTTCATAGACGATCTTGTCTTCGGGGTCGGTCAAATTCTTCATGTTGTCGTTGACGTCGACCCACGTCCAGGCGCCGGTCCAGGAGTTGCCTTCGACGAAGATGTACTGGCTGGTCGCACCTGCGGCGCGGATGCCGTTAATGGCTGCTTGGTTGAGGTTCAGCACGAGATCCTGGTCCATGTCGTGATATTCGTTGTCTGCCTTGTCAGCATGATCCGCAACGGGCTTGTGGGGACTTACTAGTGTCAAACATGACCAGGTCGTTATCTTTGTACTGGCCGGCCAAATTCTCCCAGAAGGTCTGGAAATCCGACGTGCTGGAGATGATCTCGCCGTTGCTGTTTTGTTAGCAAGCATCACCTACGGGGACTGCGTACTTACTATCTGCCATAGTTGTGAGGGTCAACAAGGGCATGAGCGCCTCCGTCCGTTACCGCTTTTATCACCTATCTCGTCAGCACTACTCAACACAGGCTAGAGTCATCTTACTGTCGTCAAGTTGGCAAGATACTCCTCATCATATGAACCAGTCATCGAGTCGGGCAGCAACCTCTCCATCATGAACTGGACGCGGAAGAAGTTCATCCCCTTGTCAATCAACGTAGAGATGGCTGAGGGGTCGGGAAAGATGTAGTCGGTTCCCTGCGACATCAGCATACGCCTATACTTTGGCAATGATACATACCCAAACGCCAGGGATATTGGTCCCAAACTCAGCACCCGACTCATTCGATCCGAACCCTATTCTGTCAGCTTCGCAACAACGATGCAAATGGAACCTTACATTCAAACACAGACGCCCTCTTCTTATGTCCAGGACCATGAGGCACAGCCAACGCGGAACCAGCCGCGGCGGCAAGAAGCAGAGTGCTCTGAAACTTCATGATGACTGCTCGATTAAGAGTCTACATTTATTGTCCAAGGAGATGAGAGTATCCAAGCTTTATATTTTCGTTCTACCCCAACTATCCCAATTTAGCACGGAGGTAGCAACTTAGCCAGACATTTCCTCCGCCGTTTATTCAAGTTGAAACGTCCAATTGTAGAGAATAACGGATATTCAAACAGAAAATGTTGCAGATCTTCACACCTGCAGATATCATCAATGCCTATAGGGCGGATAAAGTCGAAGCAGGGACTACGCTCGGTCAATGATCCGCCTTGGCAGGGTCAGGGTCATGAAACTGATACGGAAATAAGGTCCGTGACGGGAGAAGAAGGATCAACATCTGAGAGGATAGAGTAGTGCATAGGTGGAGCTTTCATGTCAGTGACATGGTAATAGTAACGATGCATTCAGCCAGAATACGGTAGGGCAGTCCCTCATTAAAATATATAACCGGTGCAGTCTATACTACATATCAACAATGAACCAATGAACAAACTGAGCTGAGCATTGACAACAGTAACTAGAAGTTCCACATCAAACCACTAGTATATATATTATATATATATCATCTCAAATATAGCAGTATACGTAGCAGTACTATCCAACAAATAAATAATATACTATAAAAATAATACTACTACCACCCCCCCAACCCCCCCATCACCCCCTTCATATCCTCCGCCTGCAGAAGATGATACTTCATTCCGGGATGATAATTATTCCACCAAATACACGACGTCCCATCATCATCGATACACGTGGCATTAGGGAATCCATACGCTGTCGGATCATCCAAGATTTTCGTCATGAATGACCACGAGTCATAGAGGACGGTAGTTACCTTAGTACGTACACATCCTAGTTAGCTTTTCTCCTTTCCACCCATCACACACAAAGAAACCAAGAAAAAAAAGAAAGAAAGGAAGAAAGACTTACATCCCCCTTCTCCTTGTTAAATCTCTCCACCATCCCCTCCAAATTCTCATTAAAAACCGCCAAATACTCTGCATGCTGCTTGACGACCTCCTCACCCTGATCCAAAAACAACGGACTGCGACTCGTCGGCGGAACATTCAGAAACAGGAACTTCCTGCCCCCGTTCTTATATACCTCCTCCACGAGACTTTCTAGTCGGGATATGAGCTTGGGTGTGTATGTCGCTGCGTCGGTGGAGTAGTATGCGTTTCCTATACTTTGTCCCCCCCGATACCCATTAGCTATCACCCACACCCACACCCACATAAATAATACACAAAGAGAATAATGAAGAAGGGGAAGAAGGAGGGAGGGAGAAGGGAGGAATATACTCATTAATCCCAATCCACACCCCAAACACCGCATCCTTAGCATCCCAAGGCGCAGTCTCCGGCTTCTGGGCATACACATCCTCAAACAGCCGGAACTGCGATGCCAAGTCACCCGGGTATGCGGGGACTAGGGCATTGTCGATTGTGGCGCCCCCCGCAGCGAAGTTGTAATTGAGGACTAAGGAGGCGTTTTCGGTTGTGGTTAGGTAGCCGATCCAGTTGGGGCCGTTGGTTGTGGTGCCGATTCCTTTTTACCCTTGAGTATTAGTATGGTGAGTGAGATGGGGATGGGTATGTACCTAGGTCTGGATTGCCCATGGGATTGGAGGCGGAGGGTTGGGTGCCTGAGGCGCTGAAGCCGGTTTGGGAGTAGGAGTCTCCGCTATATTCATCGTTTAGTGGTGACGGTGATGGTGTAATTAGGGGTAGGGGGTTGTGGAGGACGTACAAGGTGAAGAAGTAGGTGGGATTAGTGGTGGTGTTTTCTGCTCTTGGTCGTGGTACTTGGGTCCATGGTCTGGCTGTGGCTGTGGGGATAGCGGTCATGGTGATGGTGATGCCGCTGGCGAGGAGCCAGGAGGGTGGGAGTTTCATGTTGGTTTACTGGGGTGATTGTACTGTCTGGATGGTAGGTTCAATGAAGGTCTTGGCTATGTAGAACGTGAAGCTTCAAGCTGTGCTGATCTTCTGGATACTATTATATAGTATCACTAAAAGAGGGGTATGTATCACGCCCATTCTGGACCCAGCTGTAACCCATTGGAATTTGAATCCTGTGGAATCATTTAGCCGACTGCGATCAGACCTCAATCGCGGTTGATGGAAAGAGGATTCCCCGTCCTGAACCCTGGTGTTGCGGGGTAGCAATCGAGCAATGCATGCTTGCTTGCATCCTGCAGATAGCAAATCGGAGGGAGAAGAACATCACGCGGATATCAATCAAGCAATTGATCGAGCTGACTATGCCGTTTTGGCTACGGGGTGGCTTGCTTAGTTCCCCGGGTAATAGCGTAATCCGCGGTACACTCTATTCTATGTCTCTATGTTTATTGGTATAGTATGTGCAAATCATCTAAAGTAGGTACTACAGCTGCAGACGCAACATCTCCATGCCAGTACCACACACCACCACCTTACTTCCCGACGCATCGTGGAGGACGTCCAGCGACGAAATGTCCGCCACAGAACTGTATCGCTCCGCTGCCTTGCTGATCTGGATCCGGTCCGCCCCGCTCATCTTCGTGTCAATGTCGACCCACCAGATCTTGACTTGGTGGTCATTGCCGGACGATGCGACGGCGAATCGAGCAGTTCCGTCGCTTGGGTTCACGTGCTGCGTGAGGATCTTTGTCGTCGTTATGCAGGCTGCGTGGGCGTCGGGGACTGCGATGGTGCATGTGGCCGCGCCGTTCTCGATGCTTGTATCTAGAAGAGTGACGGTCATCGAGTTGTCGTCGCCGGCGGCGACGATCAAGGACAGGGTGTTTGATAGATCGGCCAGTTCTAGGCTCTTGATGCTGTTCCAATGGATCTGGTAGCGGTTTTCGCATGAGATGGTTGCTGGGGTGATGGATGCTCCTTGGATGGTCTGCTTCATACGCAGCGGTGATGTGATCGTGTAGAAAGGTTCCAGAACGGAGGTCAGGTCCCAGAGTGTAAAGTAGCCGTCTGTGGAAGCTGTGATTAGGCTCAGTGATGAGCCGTTGCGCAAAAAGTTCGCTTGCGTGAGGCAGTTGCTCATGTACGTGCCATTCGCTAAGAGGGTGAAGCTGCCTCCTTCGGTCGACGAGGTGTAATGGAAAATCTGCAGAGTTAGCATCGCTTTAAAAAGAGTGTATGGTCTGCTTACCTTGATGGTGGAGTTGGAATAGGTCAGGCAGATTAGGAACGAACCCTCTGCCTGCTCGTCCTCCACCTCCAATACGTCGAAACTCGTTGTCCGAAGATCAGAGTTG